ACTCCAAGCAAAATCCCCTCCTACTTCCAGCCAACGGAGTGGCCCCCGTTTCTCCTGGTTGTGCATATTTTTTTACTCCGACTCCACCCTTTCACTGAATTTCACTGAATTACAGGGTTCTCTTTAGATCTTAAAGTCCACAAATCATGACAGAATTATTTAGTACGAAGATTGATATTTAAAAAGGAATTGTAGGGGACCAGCCAAGAGCCCAAGGAAAGTAGGGAAATGTTGAATGGTTACTTTACACCTTCAATAACAACAAAGTACATACAAAACGGGTACATAAGAAATCGTGAGGACCAAATTATAATTAAAAGCACATTATTGTTATATGTTGATCAATTCAATCCAATTTATGTATATAGTGTAAATTCACAAAAAAAATAATCTCAATGATAATTAAACCAGGTCATACAGTTAAATATATTTTTAGTTTAGTTTAGATTTTTAGTTCTCTATATACAGTAGCATCTTCAGGTAAAATGCACCATAGATTTCAGCCTTGCAGTTTTGTTAAGGACACATCCGATGGGGCAGATCAGATCTGCCCCTATGAAACCAAAAAAGATATAAAGCTGGAAATAATTCAATAAAAAAATCATAAATACACTAAACTTACTGAAAGAGGTTAGGGTTAGGGTCAACATGAATTAAACCACGTGTCATTTTGGTTCATGTACTAATCCCTTTTTTTTTTTTTTTTCATTTCTACCATGCAAACATAAAGACTGATAATTGTTATTCCTTGGATAAAATACATTCAAAAAGAAAATACAAAATGGTTGCATGCTTCACATTTCTGACAAGATAACAGAAGTCATTTTTTTGGAACCACGCAATTTTCTCTTACTTTTAAAACAATCATAACTTCATTTCTGACAACTAAAAAACATACATTCTTTTCAGAGAAGACTGAGGGGCAAAGACTAAATCCTGTAAATGGGTCAATGTTAAAAACAGTCCTGACGTGACTTGACCGTGGGTTTTCAGCCTCCAGTTTTTATCCATTTTTATTTTTATCTGTGTATATAATGCTGTTTGGAAACTTCCCTGGCACAAACTGATTAATTTGCATCTCTAATCATTACTAACACTTATGTTTTCCACTATTCATCTGATCCTCACTTTCTTTGCATGACGTACTAAATTCTACTAATTTTAATGAATGAAATGAATTACCATAGATTAATTGATAAACTGTTTGATTGCCTTTCTTGGTAACATATCTGAGAGGCCCTTTAATGTACTTTTGCCCTGCTTGTAGATAGTGAAAATAAGGTTGTCAGTGGGTAGGCATGATCGTTCAGAGGCGCAGTTAAGGAGAATCAGGAGGTTGTTTGGCTGAAATACGTTTTTTTTTCAGGCTGTGTTTATAACAATCCTTAGATGTTAACATTTTCTTCCAGGACAGGCTGGCAAAGTCTCAACCTTCATTGTATTTTGTTTAAGATAAAAAATTAAATGTTGAACATGAAATATTATGTATCGTCACTAGGCGTACAAAGAAATAGCCTGTTAAATCTGTAAAACAGCAACCATATAAGCATGAGTTTTGTCCTCGACCTACCAATCTTTTTTTCAAACTGATAAAACATTACAATAAAATTACACCTCAAGAAAATGAAATGTACAATAAAATTATTATTATCTGTTGACCTTTTTAAGGTTAGCTCTGCGTCTAATCTAGGGCCCTTGAGAGGCAACAGTTTAGCTTTATATTATTTTTTATTCTCTCCTACTATCTGTCCTCAATAATGGGTTTGGTTTAGAAATTGGACAAGCTGCTGCTCTTCCACTTCAGTCTCAGTGAAGCATGATTATCCATGCAGTTATCCACTTCCAAATCAAAACTAACTTTGTTTGAATTAATTAAATATAAATATTATAAATGCAAAAAGCATTAAAAACAAGATAAATGATCCAAAATATATATTAAACCTTCAAAAGGACAAAGCTGAGGAGAGGCGTCAATGTCAAATGCAAATGGTGGATCACATCATGCATATATTTGTTTTCTCAATTTAATCCCTCTTCAAATCTGTTGTCTAGTAGTTAGAACACAGTTATCTTGTGTGAAAGTATATGCACCATATGCATAATTATTTCCAGGTGAGGGTCACCACAACATATCATCAGGGCCCCCAAAATGGCTAGCATGGCCTTGGATCTTAATGTTTCTCTAAAATTATGTTACAGAGGATTTAGCAGTGTCAGGTTTGACCTCCATATACTGTGTAGTGGAGGACTTTTCAGAGTGCTGCTGTTATTATTTAGC